AAGTTTCTGTGTCAGCTGAATTAATTTTCTCTCCTTTCTCCAGGTTGGTTTATAAGTGATTCCTACTGATCTATAAAATCAGCTATGCCACTGGCATCGTTGGCTACATGGCTGTCATGTTTACCCTCTTTGGTCTTAACTTATTATTCAAGTGAGTACCCTTCGCTTTTGTTTTTGCTGGTAGGGGAAGGAGAGCCTGGTGGGATATACCTTTCTTCCTGGGCAAATCCTGGTATTAACAGAGGGAACGTGGTACCCAGGATAGGAGACTTGAGCTATTGCAGTTGGGAGGGTAGAACTGAGATATCGCGGATGGGAGAGTGGGCCCTCCATAATTTTTGCTGGCAAAGATAATACAAAGTTAGAGTTTCAAATCGTTGTTTATATTTTCCAAGAATTTAGTGGAAAAACGTAATAACAAAAGTAAGAATGATAATGATTATAGCTAGTTACACATAACTCCATCACCCTAATGGAACCATTTTTCTTGTCCACGTGTGTACTGTTTATTGCAACGTCTACTCTACCTGTTGTCTTATGCTCAAAGAGATTAGGAGTTGGCAAACTATATCATGTGGGCCACAAAGGCTTGCCTCCTGTTTTTATAAAATAAAATTTTTTTACTAGAACACAGTCACACTCATTTGTTTACACTTGCCTCTGTGTCCCAGAGTAGTAATACAAAGCAGTTATGTCTCAGAGCAGGCCTTATTGGCCATGCCGCTTCCCTTACAGGATCAAACCAGAAGATGCCATGGACTTTGGCATTTCTCTCCTCTTCTATGGCCTCTACTATGGTGTTCTTGAGCGTGACTTTGCAGAAATGTGTGCAGACTACATGGCGTCTACTATAGGGGTGAGTTTACCTGGGCTCTTAATGCTGCCTCTTGCCACCTCAAAAGAGTTCAGGATAATATCACCTGTTTGACAGAAGAGATAAGCCATATAAAATCCTTCAAGATGTGGGCGGTATGTATGGAGATTTCTTCCTTAAAATTTGGAAAGCTAGATCTCAGGTATACCCTGGAATTTTTAACTTCAGGGCCATTATAGGAAAGAACCACTTTACCTTACAGGAAGTTAACATTCATTCAACAAATATTTATTTAATGCCTCTGTACTTGGGTACTGTGTATGTGCTGGAAGGACAAAGGCATACAGAGGTAAATGCGGTCTTTGCCTAAATGGAATTTACACTCTAGTGACAGAGATGGGTATTAAGATAACAAACACAAAAATTAATATAAAATTAGAACTTTAATAAAGATTATGAAGGAAGAGTTTATGCTGGCAATAAACAAATATAGTAGTGGCATTTGACCTGGTCTTGGGACTCAAGGATGGTTTCTTTGAAGAAGTGAACAATGAGTATGCGTTAACTAGATAAAGTGGGAAGTGAAGTGAAAACAGGTAGGGAAAATAGCGTGCGCATGAGACCTGTGGTGGGAGAAAGGGTGGGCGTTTTGAAGAACTAAGGTTAGTGTAGTTGGAGGACTGAGAATGTAATGTGGAAGTGTGTGGAGACATAGTTGGAGGCTAGGCTAGAAAAAAGCCTTGTAGACCAAATGAAAGATTGTGATTTTTATACTAAAAAGAATGGGATGCTAACATAGAAAATGACGTGATCAGATTTGTATTTCGAAAAGATTATTCTGGCTGCTGGGTAGAGAACAGAATGGAGAGAGATCCACAGATTAAAGTGGACCACTTAAGACTATTTAAAAGAATTTCACCAGTCTGGGGGAGATGAAGGAAGCTTGGATTGGGGTAGAGATGGTGGAAAGGGAGAGAAGAGCACTGTTTGAGAAGTATTTTGGAGGTACGTTTGACAGGACTTGGATATATATTGGTTCTAGAGATGGAAAGGTAGGTATCAAACCTGACATTTCTAATTCAGGCAACTCCTTGGATGGTATACTTTTCGCTGAGATAAGAAATGCTACAAGAGGACAAAGTGGAGACCATGGAAAGATTCTTTAAGCTTAAAATATGGGTAAAGTAACAGCCAATCTGAGAAACCCAAGTCAGTATCCCTGTTTCTTTTTTTGAAATGGAAATATGCTTTTTTTGTTTTGCTGTTTATAAAACTAATATGTTTTCTTTGTAATTATGTCAACAACACAGACATGCTTCCCCTTTCAGTGTCATTCCATTAGACCTCACCCCAAGAAGGAATATTTTCAAGTTTAATTGGACATTTCTCCAATTCTGTGCTGAAATACGTGTGACTCTGTCTGATGCAAGCAGAAGTTCTTGCTACATCATGGTTTGGCAGTTTGGAGAGAACGCCTGGTAGAATATCAGGGTAATAGGTTTTCTGGGAGCACCCAGATATCAGTCCTAGCTTTGAGGCAGCAGATATCAACAGAGACCAAGTGACAAGAACAGGAAAGGATTGCCACTGACTTTACATGAGGCACCTCCGCTACTCTTGTCATGTACGAGGCAGTTTTACAGGTAGGGGAGCTATTTGCTGTGTAAATTTGTATGTCTTTGCTCCTGTGATTTCATTTGTGCCACAGGCCAGTAGACTTAGGACAATTTAGGTTCAATAATACTCAACCATCACCTTGAATAACTTTAATCAAGTACAGTTTTATGTCTAGGACTGTGTTTATCAGTATTATGGGACTATTTTTATTTATTCCTTTAATGGATCAAATTGAAAACAAAGTATATTGGATCACTTTATAAACAGCCTAGTAGATTCTTTTTTGAACAATTGTCTTATGTTTTAGCAGCTTTCATTGTCTTATCTATTGTGTAGGTGATTCACAAGTTAGCTTTTCCTCTAAGAGATGGGATCATTACATTGACACCCCCCGCCCACCTCCACAAAATGAGATTTGAGCTAGGCCTCTTTCCATGCTTGCAGGAAGAATTATTGGGTGCTACAGTGATTACAAATGATAATCCCTAATAAGATAATTCCCTAATAATAATAAATTCTAGCTTCGCCAAAAGATCTGGCAGGAGAATTTCTCGTTAGGGTGGAGAGTGCTTCAAATACCAGCTCTTGATCCCTCATATTCTCCTTCCCTTATGGGATCTTACCTGTTACTCCCACCACTCCATGCTCCTCCTTTAATAGTCTGGCCCAAGGATAAACTCATGTACTTCCTTCCCTCTACCTCTTAGCAGAAGAACAGAAGGATCAAATAGTCTCATCAGACTTTATTAAAGGGTTGAGGATGATAGTGGGAAAATAAACCATGAGTACTTGACTGAGGTTAATTTGCCTTACCAGGCTGCCTACTTTCCAGGGCTTCCAGACCCTGCCTCCATGCAACTCTCAGCCTACCTGTGTGTAGGGGATGCCTTTTCGGCACATACCACTTAGAATCCCGATCTAGAGAGATTGAGCTGCATTTACAGTTCTTTCTAACCCTGAGAAATCCAGGACTTCCTTATTTCTGCCTGTCTTTGGTCAAATGGACGTTGGTCTGCTCAGGAACACCTGGGTGCCTAAGACACAGCAACCTGAATTTTTAATTAAGACTATCCCAGACCTTGAAGACAGAATCTGATCAGCGCTTTGGGGAAGGCAATTTAAAGAAGCCAGGAAACTTTAGCCTTCTATGCATTCATTAGCCAACTCATTCATTTATTTATTCAAGCAACAGTTATTTATCGACCATTTACAGTGTACAAAGTATGATCAAGTGCAGTCTTTACTAGCACCACTATTGCCCACTTCCAGTAGCCACCCTAGTCATTTTTTTTAAATGTCATAAATTACGCATAACATAAAATTTAGCATTTTAACCATTTTTAAGTGCATGACTCAGTGGCACTGAGTACATTTACATTGTTTTGCAACCATCGCCACTGTCCTATAGAACTCTTCATTTCGCAGAACTTGGTACGCATTAAAAGTAGTTCCTCAATTTCCTCTCCCCCAGCCCCTGGCAATCACCATTCTACTTTCTGTCTCTGAATTTGACCACTCTAGGTACCTCATATAAGTGGACTTATATAATATTTGACCTTTGCGACTGATTTATTTCACTTAGCATAATGTCCTCAAGGTTCACTCATGTACATGTCAGAATTTTCTTGCTTTTGAGGCTGAATAATATTCCTTTGTATGTATATACCACATTTTCCATTCTAAGTAGTTTTTTGTACATTCTGTAGTCACAGCTCCTATCCCAGGGAGTCATATTTGATGTTGGAGCTGTTCTGCTTATCGGGTCAGGAACTAGGTCTGATTCATCATCACTTGGTCCCCTTTTGTGAGAATGACTTGACCTAAAAAGATCTGTAATTTATTAATATCAGGGTTCTTAGAAGTGAAACCAGGAGGTTTTATAAGTATATTAACCAGCATTCTAAATTCCTTTTCTCTGTCTTATGTTACCATGTTTAATGTAGAGCAGCTCTTCGGTTTGCCTTACGGGGAGAAATCTGTAATATGAACTAAAGTAACTCTCTTTTTACATTGAGTAAAGGGAACCTTGGATGATGTTTGTTTTTTTTCCAGCTGGTCACTCTGCGGTCCTAAACTTGTGACAGCCAGTCAGTATAGTTTCCATGCATACCCCAAAGTCATATTGGGGTGGAGTAGGAGGGATGGAGGATTGTGAAATAAGCCTGTTTTCTGGGGCTTCTTCCAGGCAAGGCAGTAACATACTGTTCATGCTACATTGGGCTAAGTGTCCTATCTCACACTTTTTATCTCCTGAGCAAGTTTCTTTGCCTCAGATTTACCTCGTGGATCATCAGCGGCCCCAAATAACATCAGGACAGAACTTGCCCATTCATCTGGCTTCAGTAGTAGAAAGAGCGAGGGGCTTAGAGTCAGATAGACCTGGTTTCAAATTCTAATCCACTTTTAATTAGCTGTATACTCTTGAGCAATTTAGTTTACCTCTCTGATCTTATTAGCTACAGTAATATTATCAGACTTATAAAATCATTGTAAGAAACAAACAGGTTAATGTAAAGCATTTTGCAGAGCAGCCTTGCCCATGGGAAACACTCAGTAGATGATGATGATGATGATGTTAGCTACCATTTATCAAGTACCTGCTGTACTACGGAACTGCATAATTTATATCTAATCACCTACAGCACAGGGGCCAGTGCCCAATTTCTACAAGCTCTAGAACTTATAGAAAATTCTGTCTCCTTTTGCTTACCTTTCGCTTACCCCTTAGCCCATTCTAATTTGACCTTGGCTCATACCTTTCTTCTGAAATGGCTTTTACCCAGGTCACTATGATTCAGTGTCACTAATTCTGATCTCAGCAATCACAATGTGCCTTCACTTTTGTACCCTGCTTTTGCCATCAGTACAGTTGACTCAAGTACTCCTAGACAATTACTGTTTTCCAGATGTCTAGACCTAGAGCCTGCGTTCCTGATAAAAATATGCCATTCCTACCCCTGTATCTCAGGCCAGCCATTGGAATCTTGGTATTTCATATGAGGATCTACCTTTTTCCTAGGTAATTGACATTGAGAATGGCTATCCTTTTCAAAGGAGCCACTCTAACTCCTGTTCAACAGAGTGTGACCTTGCTGACCCTGACTGTAGACAAGCAGTTCGCTGTTTCCCCTGGTTTGAGTGGAGGTCCTGGCAGACAGACATAGCTGTGTCTGCTCTGGGTGTTCCAGTGTCATCCTGCCTTGCTCCATGTCCCAGCACCTATGTGCTCTCCTCCTCACCTAGCTTCAGGGCTTTGGCTTTTTCAGAAGACAGTTACTCAGAAACAAAAGAAGAAACAGCAAACTCAATTAAGAAAATAGACAAAGGCTAAGTACAATTAATCTACCTTACAGGTACAGATAAAATTATAACAAATGCAGAAGTTTTTTAAAAATTCATTATATACTTTTGCAAGATGTGAAGGT